TTCCTCCACTGGCTCTCCGTGAGCTCAGACACTGCTGTCCCATGCACCACCTGCACTGCTGTTCCTGGGTTGCCTTGGGGTGCTGGTTGCACTGCTGCCAGGGGTGCTGGGTTCATGGGTGTCACTGTCACTCACAGGGCCCTGGGAACCTGGGGACTTGCATGCAGCCCCCATGGCTGGTGGAGATGGTGTCAGGGTTGCTGCCACTAGGGGCTGGGTCAGCGGTTCTGCTGTGGTTCCTGTTGCTTATGGTCGCAGATTCCCCCAGCCACCGTTGGTGGAGGGGCAGGGGCTGTTTTTTCTGTTCCTGCCCTGTCTGCTTGTAGTTGTGCCAGTCGGCCCCTCTGCGTTCATGTGGTCCCGTCCTCTGTGACATGGTGGGCTCTCCCAGGGGCCAGGCTACTGCCGCTCTGCAAACACTCACACGTAGACTGGGCTGCCCCTGCCTCCACTCACAGTCATGCTGGCCACTGTGTGAGAATCCACATCCTGGATTACTGCTGCCAGGGAGGGTGAGGGGGCCACTTCCTGGGTCTAGTCCACCTGCCTTCAGATGTATGGCTGCATAGATCTCTCAGGCATCTTGTTGTGCTGTCAAAGGAATCCTCTGTTTGTTAATGGATGTCCATTTAGTTTTAACTTAGAGGAGGAGACAAGGAACAACTCACTCCACTGCGATGCTGATGTCACTCGAATCTCAGTTTCTTTGTCTGTGAGATAGGATATTAATAGTGCTACTGCCACACAGGGCTTTGCTTCCAAGCACATAGACAGCACTCACATAATTGATTCATGCTACTAAATATTTGCTGAATAATTTAATTATCTGCCTTTCTATTTTAGAATGGAAAATTAACAATAGATAACATTTTTATAAAACTTTCACATGTGTTCTTATAGCATCACTCCCATGCCGTCGCTGTGGAGGGGGTTGTTCCTGCTCTCACTTGTAGATAAATAACTCAGTTATGTGACTTCTCCATAGGAGATAGCCAGAAAGTGACAGATCGGTCATTTGGAGGGAGGCTTCTGGTCCCAAAGCCAGTCAATGGGTTGTCTGCAGCACTGGGTGCTATTTCCCTTCTACGACTTTTTGTCTAGGCCTCCTTCTGCAGGTGAGGAAACAAGGCTCAGAGAAGTGAAGTTATGTGTTCTTGGTTCCACGGGTGCCTGGGTGGAAAGTGAACCCTGAATCTCTTTGCTACCAGTGCTCTGTCTGGTCCTGACTGAACTCTATCTGTGTAACACGCCACGGATTTCAGGGACTGTGTGAGGTAGGCAGGGTGCATGTGATTATGTCCAGTGCACAGAGACATTAAGTGTCCTACCTAAGATCACACAGCTAGCGTGTGGTTGTCTTTGATCATGTCCACTGGAGGCAGAGCCCAGGACAGGGTTTTGGGTGCATGTGATTTATTGAGCAAATGTTCTGGGTGAAAAGACTAAGGGGCTGAGGGAAGCAGGATGGAGAAGGGGAAGGGACCAAGCAAGGCTGTGGTCCAGGTAAACTGGCTCTCATGTGATGACAGAAGAGAAGGCACATCAGGCCACAATGTGGTCCTGCCTCAGGGACAATAGTGCCGCTCTCGCTGTCCATCAGCAGTGAGGTGGTGTGCCTACTAGCTCAGGGCCCACAGGGCCGGGGAACCCACCGTGACTGCTACAGTGGTGGGACCAGAGCCCGTCTCCTGGGTCCTGGGTCACTGTCGTCTTTCAGCCCTCTGTGCCGCCTCCCATAGGTGATGACTCCTTTAGTGCGTGTGAGACATGACTGTGATCATCAGAAACTCCAGATCCATGCTCTGTTTTGGAATCTAGACTGGGTTAGGGTTCTGAAGACATCTGAAGTTAGGAACTGGGTCATTTTTTGACAGAATCTGATGGACTTTGTTAGCTCAGACGTTAGTTAAGTCCAGATTATAGCACTGGTCCTGTTATGAGAACTGCTGAGAATTCCCGAGGTTCTATAACTCACACACCCAACAAAAGCAAAAACAGCATATTTGGGAGTCAGTGGTCTAACGACAGATAATGCTAAGACTTGGTTTAAACGTGTTAATTTTTCTTTTCAGGACAATTGCAGCAAACCCAAAGCTCTGAGAACCCTGATACCCGGCGTGTCCTGGGATTGTCTAGTTGTCGGTTGAACACCAAAAGCAGGGGTCCACACTGGGCCATCAAGTCTGATCAATCTTGCCTCCACCCACGACTGTAATTTGAGGAAAATGGCTCAGCTTTTTCAGGGAGAATTTGGATGAGCTCTTTTATTTTAATGATGAGGAAGGCTTAAGTTGAAGAGAAATTATTGTTAGAGATCAGAGTTCAATTTCTAAGCCCTCCAAGACTATGTGCAAGGAAGGACCTGCTGGTGTGAGGAATGGAAGGTGTTGTGGGATGGAGGCCCCAAAATTTGGTTTGAATGTTGAGACTGATGGTGCCACATACTGATAAGAGTTTGAGAAGGTTATTACCCAGTAATGAGGCTTTCTGGGGAGGTTGGGATAGGCTTCCAAGCAGGTCCAAGAATGGCTGGAGGGAATGGGGAAGGAAGACTGTCTCAGCTTCTAGGGCGGGTATGGGGTTGGGCCGGAGTGAGGGTTCCCACCAGACCCCAAGAAGGGAGCCCCAGGCTTTCTCACCAGGTTACCCAAATGTGAGGCTTGAAAGCTGTCAGCAGTCAGACATCAAAAATGGCGTCATACTCTTCATTACAGGAGGACAGCACAAGGGACTCAGCTGCTTGGGTTTGAAGTAGGCTAAACACCTAGAGGAGGTGGGATGCCACCACATCAGGGGACAGGATTTCAGGAGATGCAGTTGCAGAGAAGAGAAGGCCAGTGGTTCTTGAGAACGTTTCTCCCCTGGCTTTTCCTGCGTGATCAATGTGTTTCTTTAACTCTTATGTTTAAGAATTGAATTTAATTGCAAAACTTGTATCTTATTTATAGTTAATTGTATCTAATGCAAACTTCTTAAGAAGGCTGTATCAGATTCTCAAATGTCTGTCTTATGATGTTTATTTGCTCCATTGTGCCAGTTTTCAGGAAATCTGCTTTCTGTTTTATTCTGTGGATGTCAACCTAGAGCTGGTGCGTTTCTGCTGGTCTTCTATCCGTCTGTGGAGGTTTTGACCTGGTTCTCTGTCTAATTAGTGGTATCAGCAAAGACACAGGATTATCTTACCTCTTATTTCAGGAGATCAGACAGAAAATTAAAGGATTATTTTTTTCTTTAATTGGCTCCTATAGTTTTGCCTTACTTCACTGCACTAAGATGTGCTGAGCAGAAGGAGACGTGACAACTAGAGCATTCACAAGGTCGTGGCTGAAGACTCATCCTTTCTGAGTGTGTGTGTACCAAGCATTACGTAAAGCAATTTTATATGTGTTATCTAAAAATGTATGTAAGATATAGGTTATACAATCATGGGCAAAATTGCTTAACTTTGTATAAGAAATGGTAAATCATTCTGTATTGTTCAACACCATGATCCTCAGAAATTGTCCATATATAAAATGAAAATGAGTCAAGGTGAAGCATTTTGCATGAGTCCATTAGCTGGTATGTTTAGTTTGTCCTATGAGTATATTGACACTTGTAAATACACTTACAATTTCAGTGTATTTTTTTCATAAAATGATTCAAATTAAACATTTATTAAGCATCTGCTTGTATCAGGAACTTCATTAGGTTTTTTCAAGTGCAATCTCATTTGGTAATAAGAGGCTTCTTCTGTGGGGCAGATGAAACCATTGATCTGAAAACACTTAGAAGAATTTAAAGAACTATATAAATTAAGGCATCTTTTAAACATCAGTCAGCTTGGCCTTTGCATATTTTATTGGGATGTAGTAAACATGCCAGGCGTTACAAATTATTCCAAGCACATATACATATATATATACATATAAATGTGGTTACTATTATTATACCCATTTTACAGAGAAGGAAACTCAGGTTTCGAGCTGCTCAGTCATTTCCCAAGGTCACACAGTATGCAAGAGACAGAAGTGGAATGCACTCCCACATCGTGTCGGTTGTGAGCCCACAGGCTTAGCCCCATGCCACACGCCTTCCGTCTCCCGGGGGCACTGACACCCGCGCATGATCTTCACCAGAGCCCAGTGAGGTGGGTCCTGTCATGTGGAGTTTACATGTGAAAAGATCAGAGATCCAAAGGCAGTCAGAATACCCCGGTCATACAGTGTGGAGAGGAGGGGCTGGGATTGACACCGGCTCTGTCATCCCCACGACCGCCCTGGCCTGTGGCCTCGTTGGGTGGGCCGTGCGATTTTCCATTCTCACTGCGGGCCCCACCACAGCGGCAGTGAGTTTGGACACAAGCGCTGTCTCCACGTGTGCACTCCACAAGCACCCTCTCGTTTCAGTTTCTGCTTTTTCTTAGTGAATTTGCTTGTAGTGGTAGGCATTCACTAATGGTCACCAGTTTTCTTCTGATATTTTGAACTTCTGTGACCTTAAATGAAGTGTACAACGTGCAGTTTGCTAGCAGCAGGCACATGGCCTTGCAGGGACCTAGTGTGGGAAGGTCATCAGGACCTGGCCCCTCTGCTCCTTGACTTTCTGACTTCCCTCCTGCTCTGTGTTCTTTGACTTGGCTTTCTTGACGGGACTTTTGACCATTCCCACCTACCTATCGGTGAGCTGGTCTAGGTGTCACTATGACAGTTTACTCAACATCAGAAACCTCTGTCACACCTGTGCTGCAAGGTGGTTGGGAGGACTGGAGGAGACAGCGTGGGAACCTCGGAATATGCGTGGTGCATGGTGAATGCTCAGAGGTGTTTGCTGAATTACCTGTGGAAAGATGAGTTGCCTATATCCTCAGCTCAAAATAAAAATGTGACTCTTTTGATATTCTTTCTCTGTCTACATTGAAATTCTTGTTACATTATATATAGTATATTTGACTTTTAATATATATTTTAAGTGATGTTTAGGCATAATTATTTTTAAATAAATGGATTTCTACATTTTAGGTATCGGATTTGGTAATAATTTTGAATTATGGCAGAGCAGTAGAAGCTTTTGCAAAAGGTGGTAACCTCACACTTGGAGGGAATTTCACTGTAGCAGTTGGGCCCCTGGGAAGGTAAGTTCTGTAAATACTTTTTGAACAGCTGGTGGATAGTAAAGTATTGTTAAATAAAAAAGTATGTATTGTTTTGCATTAAGAGGAAACTTGAATTAAAATAAAACAAATTTATGATTTATATACCTCCCAGAGGGTTTGAGGTTGCCTACAAATAAGAAATTTACAAAACACAGCCAATGTGAGAAAGTGAAAAAATTTGAAACTGGCACACACAAAAAGAAACTAAATATTTCAGAAACACCATTGTGTTCAGAAACACAAAGGCCATTGTGTCTACTGGAATTGAATATAAAATTTACCTTTGAGCTTTGAAGGAACTAAATTAAGTCAAATTTAAATAACTGATAAAGGGTAGCATTGATCAGGAAAGAAAAAGCTTTTTCTCAAACTAAATTGTGAAAAATTGAAATGGAAGTGTTTTACTTGAGTGATTTCACAATACTCGCAGTGTATTTTTCTTCTCTATTAATGAAGAACTATTCTTGGGTTAATTGAGCAATTTAGAAATATTTCAAACCCAGACTGTTTGTAGAAGTTACACAGTAAAATCGTCTAAAAAGGTTTCTAAGTTCCATTGAAAATAGTCAATGTAAAATGATCCCCAGCCTTGGTACTCTTGAGGTGTAGTTCTCTGTTTTAGGAAAGGAAGGCATTGGAAAATATCAGCTCCCCACTTTTGCTCTACAATGTAAGTCCTCTCTATGATCACGTCCTTCCATGAGGATTTCTCATCACCTGTCCTTCCCCGTGACCTGTCTTTCCTCTAGACCACTTTAAACACCCCTAGTTAGGCCATTGGGAAGTAAAACATATGCAAACAATTGAAGTGAGTGTAGACTGAGATCATTCCTTCGGGTCAGAGGTACAGTTTTCAGGTGTAGAGCCTCTCACAGCTCTGTGATGCAAAATCGTCTGATTTGCAGGAATTTAGAAGGAAATGTCTCCCTAAGAAGCTCTGCCGCTGTCTTTACGTACTGCAAATCCAGAGGACTCTTTGCTGGCATATCTTTAGAAGGTAGCTGCTTGATTGAAAGGAAAGAAACTAATCGAAAGTAAGTGCAAGCCAGAGAATTTTAATTGATTTGAAGAAAGTGATGAGAAAAGAATGCCTCGTAGACTCATATAGTCCCTAACAGTTTACAGAGTACCTTTGTCTGCTCTTTTTAAATGCAACAGAATATGTCTCTAAGTGTATATTTCTTTTTTTTAAAATTCCATATAAATTAATACATATTTATAGAAAATTTAGAAAACACACAAAAAATGAAGAAAAACAGTCTACCCCTTTAAGATGAACACTGTTCATCTTTTGCTTTATTGCTGTCCAGCGTTTTCCTAAGCATAATTTTCCTTTGTTTTGCCATATATGATTGTAATCATAATAGGTTCAATTGTAAATCCTATTTTTCCACCTAGCATTATCATATATAAGAATAATAAATGTAAATTAATGGCTGTATAATATTCTATTAGTTGGATGTATCGTATTAAGTATATTTTTCAAACATTTATGGAGGTCCATACCAGTTACAACTTGTGGGTCAATCAGAATGTTCCTCATTATGAGAGGTTTTGTATTATTACACTCTGCCTTTGTCTTTCATAAAATAGACACTAAATTTTTTTTCTATATTTTTATTGAAGTATAATTGACATACAATATTATATTAATTTTAGGTGTACAACATAGTGATTCGCTATTTTTATACCTTACAAAATGATCAGCACGGTATGTCTAGTTACCACCTGACACCATATAAAGTTTTTACAATATTATTGACTAAATTCACTATACTGTACATCACATCTTCATGGCAATTATTTTATAACTGGAAGAAGGTGAACCCCCTTGACCTATTTCAACCATCCTGCCAACCCCTCTATGCTCTGGTAACCACCAGTTTGTTTTTTTGTGTCTGTTTTGTTTTCTTTGTTCATTTGTTTTGTTTTTTAGATTCCACAAATAAGTGAAATCATATGATATTGGTCTTTCTCTGTCTGATTTATTTCACTTAGCATAATACCTTCCAGGAACATCTACGTTGTTGCAAATGGCAAGATTTCATTCTTTTGTATGGCTGAGTAATATTCAATTGTATATATATAGCACATCTTTATCCATTCATCCATTGACAGGCACCTAGGTTGCTTCCATATCTTGGCTACTGTAAATAATAATGCAATGAACATAGAAGTGCATTTATCTTTTGGAATTAGTGTTTTCATTTTCTTTTGATAAATACCTAGAACTGGAATTGCAGAATCATATGATAGTTCTATTTTTAGTTTTTTGAGGAACTTCCGTACTGTTTTCCGTAGTGGCTGCACCAATTTACATTCCCACCAACAGCGTACGAGGGTTTCCTTTTTCTCCACATCCTTTCCAACACTTGTTATTTCTTGTCTTTGATAATAGCCCTTCTAACAGGTGTGAGGTGACATCTCATTGTGGTTTTGATTTGTATTTCCCTGATGATTATGGATGTTGAGCATCTTTTCATGTTGGCCATCTGTATGTCTTCTTTGGAAAAATATCTACAGCCATGCATCTTTTAACAATGGGGATACAGTCTGAGAAATGCATCATTAGGCACTTTTGTCATTTTGTTAACATCAGAGAGTGTACTTATACAAACCTGGATGGTAGAGCCTACTACATGCCTAGGCCACATGGCACTAATCTTTTGGAACGACCATCATATATGCGGTCCATCATTAACCAAAATGTTGTTACGCGGCACACGCGGTCAGGTATTCAGGTCCCCTGTCCAATTTTTAATCTCAGTGTTTGTTTTTTTGATATTGAGTTGTATGAGTTCTTTATTTATTTGGATATTAATCCCTTATCAGATATGTCATTTGCAAATATCTTCTCCCATTAAGTAGGTTGCCTTTAATAGAGACTAGTTTTGAGTTAAAAAAAAGGATTTGGAAGTATCATAACAGGCAAAGAAGAACTTCCAATTTAAACTGGCATCTGGCTAATTTTTCCCAAAACCGCTCCTCCAGATCTCCACTAAAATATGTCTGATTGCCCAGAAAAAGATAAAAAGCTGAGACTGACATAAGGACTACTTCTAGAACTTGGCAGAAAAGCCACTAGTTGTGAGCCTAATGAGCCGACACTGCTGGTGGTGGACATTTACAGCAGACAGACCCCCCACTGTAAGAGAGAAAACTGTGTGCAAAGTCGCTGTGCCAATTCACTCGAGAATTCAACAGCACATTCAAAATAGTAAATGTAAACCACAAAAACTAGAAAATAGGAGGAATGGGGGAAAATAAATGTTTGCAGAATTCTTCACCTTATAAAGTTGAGAGATGTTTTTACTTCTAATTTTATTAATTTGAGAAATTTAAGAATGCTTTTAGAAACTTCCGATTCTAGGCCTTTGAAAGACTTTCCCACTAAAGTTCACCTGAATCCTGAATAAACTAAAACAAATATACTTCTTTATGAATTGTAGGGCTTTCAAACATGTAAAGCAAGTCTTTACATGATTTTGATACAAATAAACATTTTAAAGAAATTACAAAGCCATATATGCTGGCACCGTTTTTGTAAGAAACAAAAAGTAAAAACCTATAAAAGTGTAAGTGCTTGTAGATATATTTGCATAAGTGTTGATGTACATATATGTATAAGTGTTTGCATGTATGTGTGATGTGCTTTTCATATTATTGGAGGAAGGGTATGCATTTCAGACCATTCGTAGTGTTTGCCTCTAGAGGCGAGCTTGGGGGTGAGTTTAGGGCTTTAACATGGGTTATGGCTTGTTGTTGTTAGTGTTTGGAAAGTAGTTTATATGAAGTGCTATATAGGAATAAACACACACACAGCTGTGTGCTCTGTGTTTAACTCTAGAAAAGATCTATGTCTATAAAAGAAATGTTCTTAACTTGATGTTTCTTATTAGGTTTTACTGTCAAGATATCCGGGCTTATGACATTTTATTTGGAGACACACCACGGCCCGCTCAAGCAGAAGATCTTTATGAAATTCTTGATTCCTTTACTGAGAAGTATGAAAATGAGGGACAACGGGTCAACGCGAGGAAAGAGGCGAGGGAGCAGAGGAAGGTGTCTGTATGCGCGGTGTCTGTGTTTCTCTCAGTGGCCACAGGAACCTCTTTGTGTGAACTGTTCTGTCCGTGATTCGCGCCCCTAAGAACCCCCTAAACTCCCCTGCCATTTCACTTACATAGTTTTGTGGAAACGGCACAGAACCCTGCCGTGTCACGTACACAGATTTCAGGGAGAAGCACAGTTTGTTTCCGTGATTGCATTTCTCCAAGGATAGAACTTTGTAATATTAACTAATATGCTAATAATCACTGCTGATACCTGGCCTTGAGGTGCCTTCTCCTCTAGCCCCACAACAGGCCTGTGTGATCCCCGTCACACAGAACAGAAGCTGGCGCACAGAGCCCCTGCGGCCGCTGCCTCTCCCAGTCACCCCACTACGGCACCTGCCTGGGTGGTCGGTGCCGGACGAGGCGAGCGTCCAGTTGCAGAAGAGTGTCCCCATGGTCACCCGCCTATCGTCGTCCAGTGCAGCTAGTATCTCCCAAAGCAGCACATACGAGCACCTAGGGTCTTCCACAGTAAGGTGTGGGAGGAGGTCTGCCATGTCCACTCATGAGAAGAGAAAAGCCTCATGTGCTCCTGAGTAAAAACAGGGTTTTACAATTATGTGCTTTTTGTTTGTTCCTCCCAGGCTAAAGAGTTACCCCCAAAACCATCGTGGCAACCACAGCCGCCTGCACAGGTGCGGCTGAACTCTGGCTCTCCAAGTAAGTATTTCTCTTGCAATTCAAATGCAATTATTAAATATTATCATTGTTAAGAAATCAAGCTACATTGTTAAACCTTGAAGTCAAATAGAACTAATAGGTGTTAAAGAGAGAAGAATAAATACTCGACCTCTTATACGCACATAAGACAAATTCTCATTGCTGTAGTTTGTGAAAATGGCTGTTCTCCTTCAGAAGGCGCTTTCTCCAATTTACAAACAGATTCACCTTTAAAGTTTTTCTCATTTATTTTCATTATCATTTCTTTCAAAGACTGTCAGTTGGGTTACAATTTTTTTCTACTTGTATCTTTTGTCTGTTGATCTTGTTTTTTGTATATCTTACTATATGAAAGTTTTAATCTTATTTAAAAATATGTCTTCATCTATGTTTTATAGGTTTGGTATTATTTAGTCACGGTAAAGGTCTTCCCACCTCCTATACAAGGTTGTATTCATGGTCTCCTAGATTTTCTTGCAGTTTGTTTATTTTTGCAATTACTGGACACTTATTCTTCACATACTTTGAGATCATTTACCAGTTCTCCCCTCCTTCCTCAATATGCAATTCTAGCTAAAATAATATCATGTACTTATGTTAATTCTATGATTTTGGGATATTAATTGCAATAACACTACATGTATCAATTAATTAATTTGGCATCTGTGTAATAATCCTCTCATTTTATGCTTTCCATTTGTTGAGAGATTATTTTATGTCTTTCCTAAGATTTCATCATTTCTGTGTCTTTCTTGTTAAATTTATTCCTAAATACTTTATAATTTTGGTTTGTTATGGTGAATGGAGTGTACTTTCCCATTTCTATTTTAAAATACTTATTTTTATAGTTGAGAAAGTCTTAATTGGCATATATTTTGTCTTATATCTGGTCAGCTTCCCAAAATCTCTTATTTCTAGTCAGTTTTTAGAAATGGATTCTCTTGGGATGTTTGTGCCCTCTTCCCCTCCCTGCCAATGTATATTTCTCTGTTCTTGTGTCCACTGTCCTTCGGGGGTCTGCAAACACTGCCAAAGGGTGTATGGGCACAGATAACTTCAGTGAGACTGTTTCCAGCTCTCCTGCTGCTCCCAGATGTGTTCTTTCTTAAAGCCAGTCCAGCTGAGAACTGCCACACAGGCTGTGCTCTCGGTCTTCTATTCTTTCACAATCGATTTTTTTGCACTTGAATAAGAAAAGCAAACCCCCAAACCGTCCTGATTCATACTACCCTACATTGTCCCCAAAATGTCAGCACAACAATCCAATGTGAAATATGGAGGTTGATGTTGGTGTAGTTAGTGAGTGATTCTGATGAGTCGCAGATACTTTCTTAGATCACATGATTTTTGTTTCTTTGCTTTCATCAAAACTGAAGAGGGACCTAATGGAATGGTCATCTGAATTTATAATAAGAATAGTAATTAATATTATCATTATGTATTAACTATTTTAAGAAACACATAGCTATCACCAAAACAAAAAATTATAATAGTAATACTTGATTGTTGTTTCAAAGACAGATAACTATTGAGTTTTTGACCTCTGTCTCATCTCAGAAGGAATATAAAAGAATTCTGTTACATCTCCTTCTAGCCCTCTTTAGTTTTTATAAGAACCAGATTTCTTAGCACCTATATCTTTAAAGAAGAATACTAAAATACAATTTGATTTTGAGCCTGTGCCATTCTAGAAATAAGAAATATTCATCCCATGTACATGAACTAATTTTAAAAAGTCTCATCCATCTGTTGAGATGTATTTCAAATCAAATTTTACTTTCATGTTTAGTAAGTTAACAAATTCATAATATATTTAAGATTTTGATCAACTGTGTACTAATAATGATTCCAATGATAACTCAATCTATAAGAAATCATTTAATAGAGTCTTGTGTTTACTTAAAATAAAATGTAAACAATAAATTTGTGTACAAAATTTTATTGTAGAAACTGTTACATAAAAATATGATATTAATACACTAGTATAAAATCTTTGGGACAAATGGAATTAAAATATGATTTGAAGGTTGAAAATAAACATGACATAATTTCTGACTATTAAAAAACAGCTTGTTGATTTTCTTTAATGAATGATGGTGGGTTTCAGATCACTATTTTATTCAGATTCTTTTATCCAAAAAAGGAAAGATATGATTATTTAATTTAAATAATTGCTATTGAAATATGCTAAAATGTATGCCCTTTACAACTTTTAAGTTATAGTGGACAATTTTAGGTGTCAGTTAAAAAATATACAAGTGAATACATGCTATTTAAAAATTATTTTAGGGGTTAAGCAAGCAAGAATGTTTGAAAATTGCTGGCTTGAGGGTGATAAGCTTTTTTTTCAGGTATTTTATGATTGCTTCTGGAAAAGGATGTGTCTGTGTTTTCCGTGAACGTGTAGTTGCCCGGCCATGAGCTGTGGTTCACGAGCTTCTGATCATCCAGGGATCAGATACTTACCATCTGCCTTAAGTTTGGTGTATTCCCTGGGTTTATTCAGGCATTCCTCTTGATTTAAAGCATGGTAAAATAATGATATTTGTATCAAGTATAGCAGCTTAAAATATTTGCTTGGCAAGGGCAAGATTTTGCCTTCTTGGGTTTTTTATATTCTATATACTCGTAAGTTTTCTAAATGTTCCCCTGTTTTTTTTGCAGGTAACAGAAACGAATATAAGCTCTATCCTGAACTTTCCAGCTATCATGAGAGAGTTGGTAAATAAAATTATCTGTCTGTTAAAAATGACCCATATCCATCTTGTGATCACAAACTTCCTGATCAATCTGGCAGGTTGTGGAAACCTCTGGGAAAGTGTTGGGCGCCCTTTCTTTGATTTACAGGATGTCCATGTTATTGTGAGAAGCACTTCACTTAAAAAATGCCATGCTTTTGTTCTCTTACTTGCTTTTAATTTGAGATAACGGGAGTGATGGGGAAGCCGGCAAAGACCCCGTGGGCTCAGGACTGAGTGGCTCCCGGCCACAGGCTCGTCCAGAGACCCGACCACAGGCTCTCTTGAGAACTCGTCAGGAGCAGGACAGAGTTTGTTAATTGTGAATGACAACTTACTTCTCATTGCATTTCTCTGGTTCTTAGCCCCATGAATATTTTTACATTTTTAAGGAATTTTTTATTTTTCATATTCAAATATTTTGCTGTTACTGGGAATTACTTCGAAAAACTTATTAGGGTTTCCTATAATAAAAATAGTCCTTCAACCTGTTTCACTTCAATATTCTTTAGAAAGTGTTCTTTGACAGAATTAAGCAGTTATTTAGAGATTGGAGTGGGAAACAAATTGAGGGCAAAGCTTGGATACTTGTAATTAGCCTATTTTCCCATCGTCTCTCCATCCTGGAGTCAGAACCACATGCTGCTGGGTTAATAAACTATTGGAGAATTACCTGTTTCCTGTAAATAGAATAGGAAGGTAACTAGGTACCCTTTTTCTTTAGTTTATAAAAATACTTCAAAAATGTCTCTTGAGTAGAATCCCCTGAACAGAAGCAGCCGTTTCCTGATGGATTAGGGTCCCTGACTTCCCCTTGTTGTCAGCCTGGCAAGTGTTCGGAGCCGCCTCTGCCTGTCCCTTCCCGGTGATTCTCCTCTGGGCGCTGAGGTCCCGTGTTCAGAGCTGGTGCGGGGCCCGGGGCTCTGCTGTGGGCAAACGCGGTGTGTGGTCTGACATACTGAGGAAGCTCTGAGAGGTTTTGAAGACTTGATTTGCTGTCTGTGACTTACGGCTGTGGTCAAGGTGAGATGGCCAGAAATCTGACCAAAGGCGCACATCCTTTAGGAGCAGAAGTGGTAACAGGAGAATGTTTACACCGAGTAGCGCAGACATCCAGACTTGCGTGTGAGCGTTGTTTTCCTTTAGAGACTCGGTTGGGCTTAGACCTAGACTTGGGTATCCTACAATCAAAGGCGTTCTTAAACCTGACGAGGTCACCAGAGGAGCTGAACCCTCTTGGGAAGGGTGCCCAGCAGGGACCTTGAGGGGTAAGGCCGAGGCTGTGGACCCCAGGTGCCTTGGTGACGTGACACTGGAGACTGGAGGCCCTTTTCTCAGGTGTCTCTAAAGTCTGTTCCCGTAGCCTAGGTGCCTAATAAATAGTACTAATATCTCTTAAAAGGCACTGAGGGAGAATGTTTAATGATAAGAAATAAAACCCTAAGTAGGCTCTGGAGACAGGCTCCGATTTAAATCCGATACGTTGGTTCACTGACAGTGATCCAAAGGTAATGTCGCCTCCCCGTGGGTGGCTGGTTTGTGTTTTTATATTTGAGAGCAGGACAAGTTAGGTTGTACAGACAATAGGTACTAAGTTAATATTAATATTAATTTATTTTAGTCCTTTCTCTAAATACAAGAGATTTTGAAGAAAAAAATGAAAGGGAAGATTTAAAGTCTATTTTTAAAATAAAATTACTTTACATTACTGTGTTGTTTGAAGAGCAGCCATGAAACCAGTTAAACTCTCACCAAGGACTTCCTGACCTCCCGGCTGACCATCCTTGTGGAGAAAAGTCACAATACACCGGCCTGAGCCTGAGGTTGAAGCCCCATTTATGCAGGACACCCAGGCCCCCATGGGCTAGCTCCTCGGCCTGCCCCAGGCCCACAGGCGAGCTGCGGTCATGCATAGGCCGTCGGGCATAATGATCATTCTCCAAATCACCTGTACTTTTGTTTAGCACCCTCTAGAAACTCCAGCTACGTGGCACTCAAGCCTCCCAGCCAGACAGGCCTGGAAAGTCCACAGCCCTATTTACTTATGTTTTCATAACTGAAAGCCTCCTCCTGTGTCAGCTTTTGTGGCCTTCCTCTTATCCACCCTATAGCTGTCAGTGAAATCTGGGCACTATGGGTAACTCTCTGCTCGGGGGCTGACCTGTGCTATGTGGGTGCTTAGCAGCATCTGGACGATGTGCATTCGATGCCCATAGTACCCTGGTGGTGATAACCACAAATGCCCCAGACTTTCCTTTTGAGAACCGCTGGTCCTGTGGCCCCCTGGTGGCCTCATCTGGCTCACTCACCATTGACAGTCACCCCCTACAGAGGATGGACATGATCCCCAAAGCTATAGACCCCAGCACATGGCCTGGGGGGACCTGGGTGCCAGAGTCGAGTCAACACCCCAGCTCGTCTCTATGGTAGATGTGTAACAAGACCAACGCTGTGTTCTCCCAGTTCTGGTCCCTTGAGGTGGACCTTCCAAAGGCTATGATTATTCTCCTGAATCGTGTCTGGGGCCCGACTGTTGGCCACACCTGGGCTACATTGCGCAGGCTCCGCCGAGCATCCCGGACCCGACCGTGCTCATTGTGAGCCTCAGGGTGGCTGCCAATCACTAAAGCTGATTGTAATCTGCTTCCTGTTCAGCATGGCCCTGACTGGGAGAGAAAAATAACCTCTATTTGAATTAAACTTGAATATCATGATGAAAATGGCCAGTTGCTTCAGAGATCCTCCAGGTTCTTTTAAGCACAGAAATACAAAACTTGAAGGCACATATCGCTCAGAAGGGAGGTGTCTGTGAACGTCTGAGTAACCCGTGGGGTTTGGGTGGTCCCCTTCCTGAAGGACATAGCTCCTTGGCTCACCTTTCTTTTTCTTTTTAATAAATTATTTTGTGGGCATTAAACTTCTTCTTATGCAAATTATCCCTAATACCTACAGTAAAGAGAAACTTTAAGTCATTTTGAGCTTATCGAAGACGAAAACTAACAATTGGGCCTGGCACTGAATGGCTGTGAACTGTGCCCCGGGAAGGCCTGCCTTCCCTCAGGCTTGGCTCCTACACGCCTATGTTTTCATATGGACGAATTTTCCCAACAACTGCTGAACTCTAGCCTCCTATGCTTCCCCCGGGAGGTGGAGGGACCTGACTAGTGAGACAGTGAGGAATTTGGCACCTCTCTTGGACTGTCTGAGCCACCTTCTTTACTGCCTCTGCTCAAGACGTGGGTGGGGGAAAGGAGGAAGGCTGACTCTGACCTCCTCAAAGCCTTTGTCTGCTGCAACTCAGAAGCGTCTGCTTTGCCCTCACCCCCAGCTTTCCCACCATGGCTTTATCCTATTTCACTTGGAAACTACAGTTTGAGGCAATTAGACAACATCTAAATGGGAGGGATTGAACCAGGGCTGCAATCCTCTCTGTCTTTTCTCTTCTTTAGTTGATAGTATCCTTCTTCCTCTAATTATTCATCATAGAATACATTCCTAAAACCAGTAAGAACCAGTGCAGTTATCATTGATTACCCAGGGTCATCAGCATCAGATATTCTTATTATTTGTATAGTCTGGATAACAGTGATACAGGGAAATATACTAATTCTCCTTGAAAATGTGCCCAACAAAAGTAAAATGCTCTGATAAATCCAAGTTCAGTCTGTTGAGCAATTTCACACTGTGGTTGTGAGGACCTTGGTGTGGCATCAGTAGTGATGAGAGCGCCTGGAGACAGACTTCAGAGATCAGATCACCTCCTTGGATGGTCACGTGACACCTCCAAATCTCAGTTTCATATTCATGTTCTGTAAAGTGGAGGATGACATTAGCCGCCTCATTGGGAGGGAGGAATGGGCGGAGTGCGTCAGGCGCTCATCGCAGAGCCCGATGCAGCCAGCAGGAGCTGCTGTCACTGCAGACACAGTGACTGCCGCTGCCGCCACTGTGGGCACCTCCCTGTGCACGCTGAGTGCTGTGAATAGTGCTGCAAGTGTATCCGGGTGCTGCATCTAAGCCGGCTGTGGCTTCCTGAACGTTCCCTGATATTCACGAGCACTCCTTTCACTTGCTTCTTTCTGTTATCCAACATGCCTGGGAGACAAGAGGGAGGAGGAGGAGTTCCTCGAGGGTGTTCATCGCTAAGTTTGGTTAATTGAGATTGAGCTTGATATATGGAGATTGTAAATATAATTATTGATAAGAAAATAATTTTCAGAATGATTTTTTTAACATTAACTTCTTCTGATCTAATGACAAGAGACATGACGTGAGGACTCGCTGTAGGTCCCATCTCAATGTGGCCCCACGGCCACTTTTCACAGCAGTAGCTGTTCCTGAATATGTGTCAGCAGTTTAACTGGTTTTGATTATATCCAGACTATACCAAAATTGTATTCTGTTTGTGCCATTCTTTTAAACTTATTCTTAAAATTGACAGGGTAAAAGTAAATACAGTATAAAATATTAAAATATGCAGAAATTCTTTGTATTATAGAGAAACTAATTATACTAGTAATATCTCTCACACGGTTATATTGGTTATCAGAATTACTTCTTTAGGAGAACTCGAAGAATGGGATGGCGCAGGCTTTGTAGATAGAACTGTAGCACCATCTTGTGTGAGCCACAGATTCAATGTTTCAGTCAATGCAGTTTAATTAAAGTGTGGGCATTGTTATTCCTTACTGACAGGGCAACTTCTGTTTATTTTTTATTGTTATAGTATTATAGGTTCAAATAAGTTACTGGCTTTAGAATTTAGGTATTTATGTTTTCAGTATATCTGCACTTAGGTGCATTTAAAAAGCATCTAATTGCCTGATTTTTGCACAAAATTATATGAAACATAGAAATATAAAATTCCACATAGCTGAGTACTCAGAAAGTATCTGTTGCTTTATATTTCTTATGATGCTACACAGTTTATAATATTTGATGTCCTTTACTCATGTTAACCACTCAATTCTCAAAGTAATTTTTCCCAATATAACATGCTAAATTCTACACACTGTGTTGAAATTCTTGTTGAACATATGTGCACAGGCTTCCTGACGTGCTAATATGAATTTCATCTCTGTATTGAGAGAAAGGATCAAGTAAGCACAGGAATGAAAACAGACATGAAACCTGGGGGGAAAATGCTGATAAAACAGCAAAATACTTCCGAGGCGGAATCCTCAAAACCAGTGACTACAGAACATGGTTTCTACATAGAATCTTTTATGATACGATCATGAGCACAAATACCCGCTTCTCTCTAACAGCTATAGTTCACAGAAGCCATCATGACTATTGTATCAAAATGGGAAAAATATAGTGTTATCTTATAGGTTATTCAAAATTTAAATCAAACAATTATTACCACAAACATTTGCTAAATATATAGTAAGAATGTAATAATGTGCAGTCTGACTTGTGTGGATTTAGGAAATATTACTGCCAGACATCTGCTCTTTTCAAAGAAGAAAAACATAAGTTTAATAACATGATGATGATCACACGGATCCTCTGCTGTGGGTCCTGCCGGCCTCCAAAGCATCAGAATACCAGCCCTGGGTCATTCACTTATGTCTCACCCACACATACTCTCAGTTTTTCCCCCAACAAGTGTGAATAATTTAAGTACTTTTTTTGTTTTAGGCAATTCGAGTCAACCCATAGAAGTCACAGCACTGTATTCTTTTGAAGGACAGCAGCCGGGGGATTTGAATTTTCAAGCTGGAGACAAAATCACCGTTATATCAAAAACAGATTCACATTTCGATTGGTGGGAGGGAAGGCTTCGAGGTCAAACTGGCATTTTTCCAGCCAACTATGTTACGATGAATTAAAGTTTATATTATTTTCTTCTTTGAGAACTGCCAAAAGATTATTTCTACACTGAGAGGATTTGCCATTCAGTTAACCCATGTTTAATATAAGTTAAAAAATACTTCTTGTTTATTCCATAAACTTTTAATCCAGTATGTAAAAAATTTTGTTTTACTATGTGTAAGTAAATGATTAACTTACATATCTTTAGATACTTTGTACTAATTTTATCACATATACTATTAATAGTTAATATCCTCCAATTATATGGCTGGTTCTTTTGTGTTAATTTTCAGACATCACAAATGTTTGATTTAGCTGTGTCTGTGATAACTATTTTAATTTCAGAAGTGTAAGGGTGGGGCATGAATACTAATTCATATATTTCTATTTGCAAAGTGACTCAAGAAGGAGAAATCAGCTTAAGTAGGGTATTAAGTAATATTTAGAGTTGTAGGTATTAACTAGAATATGAATCCTTAAAAAGTATCTTTCTACCTTCAAGATTGTATATATACATTTATAGTAGAAACACACTATTACAAAGGAGTTCAACCACTATGCATTAAAAAACAATGACATCTATTAACTTTTCTTCATGAGGTTATATCTGTTCGTTTATAGCAGTAGAATCAACTTCTGTTCACATGGTTCAGTTGTCCCTAAATAAATGTTTTTAAAATGCTAAGTTAATGTCTTGATTTTCTTTTTCTTATTTTCTTTTTGTAAAATAGGCAGAGGTCCTGTGGTTGGTCTGCAGGTTAAAACCCACCTCCATGATTGGGCTGCATAACTTCTTTTTTTTTTTTTCAGCTTTATTGATGTATTATTGACAAATAAAATTGTAAAATATTTAAAAGGTACAATGTGATGTTTGATATACCTATACATTGTGAAAGGATTCCTACTAAGTTAATTAACACATCCATCATCTCATATATTTACTTTTTTTTTTTGGTGGGAACATTTAAGTTATACTCTCTTAGCAAATTTCAGTTATACAATACAATGTTATCAACCATAGTCACCACGCTATACATTATATCCCTAGAACTTATTCCCCTTATAACTGGAAGTTTGTACCCTTTGACCAGCATCTCTTAATTTCCCCCACCCCTTATATATATATACACCAGATTTTCTTTATCCATTCATCCGTTGATGGACGCTTTGGGTTTTTTATATATAAGATCATGTCATCTGCAAACAGAGATAATTTTACTTCTTCCTTTCCAATTTGGATGCTTTTTATTTCTTTTTCTTGTCTAACCACTCTGGCTAGCATTTCTGGTACTGTGGTGAATAGGAGTGGTGAGAGTGGGCATTGTTGTTCATTCGTGATCTTAGAGGAAAAGCTTTCAGATTCTCACTCTTGACTATGATGTCAAGATGGTGGGATGGTCATATATGAGCACGCGGTTTAATCTCCACATGTTTGAGAATTTTCCAGTTTTTTCCTTGTAGGTGATTTCTAGTTTCCTACCAGTGTGGTCAGAAAAGATGCTGGATATGAGTTCAATCTTCTTAAATTTATTAAAACCTGCTTTGTGGCCTGACATGATCTATCTTGGAGAATGTTCCCTGCGTACTTGAGAAGAATGTGTATTCTGCTGCTGTGGATGGAGTGTTCTTTGTATGTCTGTTAGATCCATCTGGTCTAATGTGTAGTTCAAGTCTAATGTTTCCTTATGGATTTTCTGTCCAGATGACCCATCTATTGTTGAGAGTGGGCTATTGAAGTCCCCTGCTATTCCTGTGTTACTGTCTGTTTCTCCCTTCAGATTTACCGATATTTGCTTAATATATTTAGTGCTCTGATGTTGGGTGCATAAATATTTACAATCGTTATCTCCTCTTGATGAATCGACCCCTTTATCATTATATAATGACCTTCTTTGTCTTGTTATAGGTCTTGGCTTATAGTCTGTTTTGTCTCATATAAGTATAGCTACCTCTGCTTTCTTTTGGTTTCCGTGTACATGGAATATTTTTCCCATCCCTTCACTTTTCAGTCTGTGTGTCCTTGAAGCTGGAGTGAGTCTCTTGTAGGCAGCATGTAGTTGAAACTTTTTTCAAATCCATTCAGCCACCTTATGTCTTTTGATTGGTGAATTTAGTCCATTTACATTTGAAGTAATTAGTAAAAGATATGGACTTACTATTACCATTTTGTTCATTGTTTTCTGGCTGTTGTAATTCTTCTGTTCCTTTCTCCTCTTTCTCTCTTCCTTTGTTATTTGACCATTTTCTGTACTGGCATGCTTAGATTCCTTTCTCTTCATTGTTTATGTATCTACTATAGGTTTTTGCTTTGTGGTTACCATGAGGCTTACGTAAAACATCTTGTGGTTATGACTGTCTATTTAAGCTGAATGCATAGAAAAGCTGTACATTTTTACACTCCCCCACGTTTTATATTTTTGATGTCACAATTTTCATCTTTTCATACTGTGTATCCATTAAAAAACTATTGTAGTTATAGTTATTAATACTTTTGTCATTTAGCCTTTATACTAGAGTTATAAGTGGTTTTCCGACCAACACTACAATACTAGAGTATTCTGAATTTAAATATATATGTACCTTTACCAGTGAGTTTTATACTTTCATGTTTTCCTGTTACTAATTAGCATTCTTTCATCTCGGCCTGAAAAAGCCCCTTTAACCTTTCTTATTAGGCTGTTTTAGTGGTGATGAATGCCTTCCGCTTTCCTTTGTCTGGAAAACTCTATCTCTCCTTCAATTCTGAAGGACACCTTTGCTGGGGAGAGTATTCTTGGTTGGCAGTTTTTTGTCATTCAGCACTTTGAATATATCATCCCACTTCCTTCTGGCCTGCAAGGTTTCTGCTAAAAACTCCACTGATATTCTTATGGGGTTCCCTTGTACATAACAAGTTGCTTTTCTCTTGCTGTTTTTAAGATTCTCTCCTTGTCTTTAACTTGTGACAACTTAATTATAACATGTCTTTTTGATTCATCCTATGTGGAATTCTCTGGGCTTCCTGGATCTGGAAGTCTGTTTCTTTTGCCTATGTCAGGGGAGTTTTCAGCCATTCTTTCTTTGAATGAGCTTTCTGCTCCTTTCTCTCTCTCTCATTCTGGAACCCCAGTAATGTGTAAAATCATCCACTTGTTGATGTCCCAGAAGTCTCTTTAGCCATCTTCACTCTTTTTCAGTTTTTTCTTTTTCCTCCTCTGATTGGATGAATTCCACTGCCTTGCCTTCAAGTTCACTGACCCTTCCTTCCACTTGATCTAGTCTGCTTTGAACCCCTCTATTGGATTTTTCAGCTCAGTTATGCTATTCTTCAGCTCTGTGATTTCTGTTTTGTACTTTTTTGTATTTTCTATCTCTTTGTTGAGATTCTCACTTTGTTCGTGCATTGCTTTCCTGACCTCAGTGAGCATCTTTATGACTGTTATGTGGAACTCTCTATCAAGTAAAACACTTACCTCTATGTCATTAAGATCAGTTTCTGGAGTTTTATCTTGTACTTTTGTTTGGAACATACTCCCTTGTTTATTTATTTTCCTTGACTCTCTGTGTTGGTTTCTGCGCATTAGATAAAACAGCTGCCTCTCTCGATCTTGACAGAGTGGTCTCGTGTGGGAGAGGAGCCTTGTCAATTGGTCCAGCCCAAGCTCCTGGTTGTCTCTCAAGCCTTTATGATTGTCCAAGCTGCCATCTTTGTTCTTAGTGACTCCCAGCAGTTGAGGGTCTGCCAAGACCCTGTGTCTCAAAGGGTAGGATTGCAGTCAGCTCCCAGATGCAGGCTGATTGGAAGCTGGACCCTCAGGCAGCATTGAGAAAGTATGTAGTTAAGTCCTTTCTATGGAGAAACAGAGATGAGTGTTTTTACTGGCTCCCTCTGCTGAGCCTGGGTGTAATAGCTGAAGGGTGGGGAGGGGGCTCTTATACCCATTTAAGAACTGTTTCTCTGTTTGCTGCTAGTCTTGTGGGACTAGTGAATGCAAACCCCACTGGCTATCGGAGCTAGGTGACTTGGGGTCCCGTCCCTCAGATGGCAGCCATAAAAGATGAGGCACTAGATGTGTGGACAAGCTTCTTCCAGGGAGATGATGGTGACTTAGTTTTATTATTGGCTACCCCAGGGCTCTGGGGAGGATCACAGCCAGCACCTAGATGTGGCTAATCAGGTATTGGGCTCTCAGTCAGCAGCTTGTGCAGGATACAGTCAGACCCCTTCCAGGGAATGATGGGGAGATGGGCGTTTTTGTCTCCTCCCTCTGAGCTGAGCCCCAGGGTGAGAGCCATGGCAAGTGCTCATGTTCCCAGTAAGACCTGCTTCCTTGTTTGCTATTGTGCTGTGGGACTCGTGAAGGCAAGCCCTGTTGGCTTTCAGAGCTTGGTGGCTTGGGGGCCTATCCCTCGGTGGCAGCCCTAAAAGTTGGGGCACTAGATGTGTGGTCCTAACCCTTCACTCTTAGAGAGAAGCTGGGATTTGGAGGTTCCCTCTTGATTGTATGGTGCGGTGTTGGGGTGGGGTTTATGGTGAGAGTGTCTCAGCCTTTCCGACCTATTTTGATGTGAGTATTTTCCGAATGTATAGGAGTCACTCAGCTAGTCTCTGGATTTCTCTCAGAGGTAATTCTCCTTGCATAGCTGTATATTCAGTGCAGCTGTGGGAGAAGGGAAATTTGGGAGCCTCCTATGTCATCATCTTGGTCCCTCTAACTTCTTCCTTGAACTCCAAACTCATCTCCAACTGTGCACTTGACAGCTGTATTTGGACACGTGATAGCATCTCAAACCTAACTTGTCCAAAACTAAGCTTTTGCTTTCCTCTGCTCTAAAGCCTGCCCCCCAACATTCCCCTTCAGTAAGTGGAAATTCCATTCATCTACTTCCTTAGGCCACAGGATTACTTAGGAGCCATCCTTGATTCTTCTTTTTATCTCATGCCCTGATCAAACTCACCAAGGATTTCTTTTGGGTTCAGAATACTGGACCTGACTACTTCCTACTACCTCCATCACCACCTCTGTAAATTAAGCTGCCGTTAGCTCAGCCCTAGACTATCATAACAGCCTCCAGCTTGGATTCCTTTCTTCAGCAGAGCAGCCAAAACGATCCCCTTAAAATAGTACTCTCACTCTCCAGCTTTCTCTCCTGCTGTGCCTTCTTCATAGCTTTACATTGTCTGCACACATGTGTTAACCGTTTTTATAATGCAATTCTTAAGCCATGGAAAAAGAAGAATGAAGACTCACATATTATCACCCAGCAAGAAATAAAGCAGAGTGTGTTCTTTTTCCCAAACTCTTCCCAATCTCCCCCTCCTTCTGACTCAAAGGTAATCATCATCCTGACTTTGCTGTTTATTAGTTCCATGTATTTCTCTGTTTCTATTATATATGTGTGTGTCCCTAAGCACTATGTTTTTGCCTTGCATGATTGTAAGCTTACAAAATTTAAACTTTTAAACTTGTACAAGTCATTCATTTGCAATGGAATTGTCATAAACAAACTATGATATACACATTCAAAGAAAAGATAAGGTGAAGAATCTCAGCATAAAGTTAACACTATAGGAGAAAACTAGATGGAAAATTTGGAATTCAAAAAGAAATAAACCAAGGAGATAATAAATGTAATTTAGATACAGCCAAAGAGAGAATCATTAAATTGAAGGTAAGTCAGAAACATATATCCAGTCTAAAACAG